CTATATAGTTAATGCTCCATAACTGCTCCCGTTGAAGCCAAGGAGAGCGAAGAATTCACCAGCCAGTGAAAGAATATCTAAGATGTAACGCCCGTCGTCCAAGTTCGCAGGCGGCAAGTATGAGAAGTGTTTATTGAGCCAAAATAACGATGAGAGCTCATTTACGCAGCTGGTCTCCCTCCACACTCTCCAAGCGTCCATATCTAAGCGCTTTATGCACCTGGTGCCGCGGGAGAGGAGGCAGCCCGCCAGAAGTTGCAGCGCACCTTAGTGCAACGCAGGATGCAAAGCAGCTCCACATAAACGCAACAACAAGCTTTCTTGCCTACATACATGAACACTGTAGACAGCTGTTGAAGCTTCATTACGCTCCATTTGTCTACTAGAGCCAGGGAACGGGTTCGTACGCCAACATCAAACATCCTCGCCAGCATCGGACAGACTAAGCAGCACAAGTCCGCTGAAACGGTGCCCTACAACATCTGATGCTGCGTTCCCAGAAAATTCTAACTATGGCTAGTAGGAGTGATAAAGTCAACGGAGAAGCTATTAGGCGCTGACGTATTACGATAAATGAAGCTGGTGCATACACGAGCTCTCCAGGTGTGTAGTGCCCGCCCTTATCCTCCAGTAATAGCTAATAGGGTATGCAAAAGCGGAACTCCAAAGGGGATCGACTATGAGGGAAAAGTGAATAGAAACAACTGAAATCAGCCACGCATCAGGTTTTGTTCTCCAATACGCGGGTGCGACGGGACAGATTATGTTGCCCTGCCCCACCAATTGTGTTCTACACCACCTCCCTCTGCTTTGCCCCCTGACATTCAGAAGACCCTCAGTCTTGCATCGTACTAGCAGGACTTCCCGGTTTCTGCCTCATCGCCGCCCCTTTTTAGCGGCTTGGCTTTAAAGAGATAAATGATTCATTTGGACAATGAATGAGGATTTAGCCGCCAGAAGCCTTATACACCGGGCGTCATCACTACTGGCCCCGACTGTGTAGTGCGCCAGGCATTACAATGGATTTCCCATTGACACTCTAGCGGGCTCTCCCGTGAAAAGAACAGAGCTAGTATTACACTATATTGTATGTCAGATCACGTATGCAGGAAATAAGTCCAACTGGCGATGATTGCTCAGCAACATATCAGGGTCTTGGGGCTGACTCCGTAGCCGAGACACTGACCCCTATAGAGTGCCGGGGGAGACGGATCATTTCTTCTCCCTTTTGGGGATTAACATTATCTGTGGGATATCCCTTGGCAGAAGTACACACAGGACTGCACGTAGTGGCAGATGAAACTCGCCAGCGCAATACAGACTGATTTCGAGAAGAGTTCCTTCTGACTAAGCGACAAATGTCAGTGGCCTAGCAGTTGGGGTGACGACACATGGCAGTGACCCAGCACTTCGGGGGAGGTTTTTTCAGCAAGCCACCAATTCCAAACCACATCAAGTAAAAGCCTGATTCTCACATCTTCTCACAGAGAGGAAGAGGAATTGTCGAGTACGCGAGAAACATTTCCAAGCGGCTTAGCAGGGAAAAGGGGAATATTAGCGCTGCTTATGTGCCAGGTACCTCTCCTCCCATACGGATGTACCCCTGCCATACATAGCGAACGACGGAAACTATCAGAGTGTTGGCGGACTCACGCAGTAAGGTGGTTAACTTCCGCCCTACGACAAGGACATTTACTACCGTTGACCCCGTGGAGCTTGTCGATCAGAGGGCTGTTCTTTACTATCGCTTCGCTGATGCTCCATTAAAGGCCAAGTTTACTTTCTCCTCCATTCCAGAAAATACACCACAAGTAGTGGTAGTGTGGAAGAACACAGGGATGACAGAAGTGGGGTTCGAACCCACGCCCTTCCGGACTGCGGCCTTAACGCAGCGCCTTAGACCACTCGGCCATTCTGCCGCTATCCAGCCGAAAGACGAACGGAGCGTTCAGCCCAGTACTTCTGTATACTCACCATGTCACGCTTTCACTACTATGATCGAGAAGTCCTCTTGTATTTGTGTTCTTTTCGAATCAGAAATTCAAGCTCACTCCAGCCCCTTGTAGTATCACCAGCATCTTTTCTTTTGTGTACTTGCTAGAAGTGGTGGAACCGACGACTACTAACACCAAGAAATGAGTGTCGGGAGAGGAAGCTGCCGAGTCAACAACTTGTTGCCGTTAACACCTCAAACTGACGAACAAAACGAACAACGAAAGGCAAGCAGATGACAGAAGTGTGGTTCGAACCCACGCCCTTTCGGACTGCGGCCTTAACGCAGCGCCTTAGACCGCTCGCCCATTCTGCCGCTCTCCGCGGGCAAGATGAGTGCAGTTGCTAGCACGGTTTCCCTTTAGAGTCACCAGGTCATGCTTTCATTGCTATTAAATAAGCACAATCAATGTGCCTGTAGAGTCACTCAGTAAGATGGCCAACTGCTGCCCTAGCAGGAGGCCAGTGGCAACCGCTGACTTTTTGGAGCTTGTCGCTGAGGGCACTATTCTTTACCGCGGCTTCCCTGAAGTACTAATGTCTGATCACGACCCTAGGTTGCAGTTTGGCCTGAGCGGTAGCAGTTATATCCAACAACAGCAAGCCCCCGCAGATATTGCATTGTGTGTGCACCCTAAACCTATTAGGTATATGGTATACCAACATAGGCTTTCAACTGTATCTGGGCATACAGCCATGAAGGCTTGTTATGGGGGGATGCCTTGCATGATGAATTGCAGCAAGGTGCATTGTAGCTCATGACAGGTTCAGGCGATTGAGCAACTGGGCCCAGGGCACGTGTAGACTGGACAGCTGTTTCAGCTGCTTGTAAGGAGCTCTTGCTTACTAATTTTGGCTAGACTGCCGATCTCAGCAGCTCACTCACAAGAGATATAGAACCTGCGTTTTAATCGTTGTGTGTGCAGATATGCTGGCAGCTGAAACCCCAGTCGATGTTCCAATAACGGAGTGGTTAGAGAACCAACATAAACGTTGCAATTGCAACTGTTGTGACCACCATACTGTGATGACTAGCAAAGAGAGGGACATTCTGCATGAATTGGATTTGCTCTAAGAGCATTTTCCACTGGATATAATGCAGAAAATGCGATTGATTGAACTCGACGTGTAGTGAACAGCCCCTCAGACGCTCCAATGAGCCTCTCGTGGTGAGACGGGGTGATTCTTCCTAACGGCCTTGCAGGAATCCCACGATTTTGGGCATGCTCCCATATCCACGTCAGTCAAGTTTTGAGGGCAATGCTCTAAGAGAAGTGGCGGAGAATCCTTAGAAATGTTGGTCATCTTGTCGATCTGCACCTCCTGACTGATACGCGGTGTCCACCCGGCCTGCAATTCTCGCTATACGCGAAAGGAGTCAACGGAAGCCTCTCCCCTCTAGTCTTCTTTTCCCACGATGAGCCGCTCCTCCTGACCCCTTAGGCCTCTTTCATGGCTCTTTGGTTTGAGCCCCCTTTGGGGGGATCAGGCGGGGGCTACGATTGCGAAGGAGCGTATGGACCCAATATTGAACCCAGGAGGGCTGCGGAGTTGGGGATTGGGGTTGGTCTTTACGGTTTTGCTGCCCGGGTCGATAATACACTATATCTGAGCCGAACTATGGTACTTTTCAATGATGTGTATAGGGGACGAGATGCAGCGTTGGGTGCATTATCGCACCCTTCGCTATATTTCTAGAGTCGTTCTAGACACTGCAAATTTCGCTGTGCCCTGAAGGCCCAATGCCTAAACTCTCCCTTGGAGAGGGCCTGGGGTAAGGGGGAGACTGTCACTCCAGCATTCTTCGGCTAGCTATTCCTTGTAATCGGCGTTCGGCCCACCTGAGTGAACAAAGCTCCCTGTATACCCCAGCCTTACCTCGCCAGACCTCGTTCGCACTTTTATGAGACAGCTCCATGAACATCTCGCCGTTGGCGTGGATAGCAAGTCCACAGCCTTCTTCAGAGGCGTCCACAAACACTCGAATGTATGCACCCGATCTCACCGCTACTTTGAATTACATTATCAGGTGAAAGGGGGGTGACCACTCCACCACATCATCCCAGTCCCTTCCTGGACACGCCTTGTATGGGTCGTGCAAGCAGCTAGCGGCTGGGATGACCCAGCTGACACTACGGGTTCCTCTAACCTGCGCAACCTAGGTACATACCGCTTAACTAATACCGGACGCTAAGAGTATTACTCTAGAAACAGTAAAATACCAATATCCGATCATTAAGAGTTTAAGAAGCCGGTTTTTTAGAAGCCTTCCCCTATCAAAGAGAGGAAGTGCCCGCCCGCCTCGACCTCTACAAGGCCTGCGTCGCGGGTTAGTCCGCCCCACGTCAAAAGGGCTTTAGTCACGAATTGCCCATAAGACCACAATGGTGGTCTAAATATCCCTACTAGATGCTAACTATTCTTTATGTAGTGCTCTATGACGAATTCACACGCCAAAGGCTCAGCGGAGTGCCTACTGTATTGCCCGTGCACTGCAAGTGGATTCCATCTAGGCAGTCCCCACTACAGCTTCCTGAGCGTCGTCTACACTAAACACACGAAAATTCCCAAAAGATACAGCAATTTTCCCATTTTTGTCACATTTTCCTCCGAGAATTTGTGGCTGTTCTGCTTGATTTCAGCCACTGTTAGTCCGTGGCTCTACATGCAGCCCCTGTAGGAGTTTTCGGTGGTGGCGGTGTCTCGTGGGGTCAGCTACGCTAACCGTAAACGAAGATATGTTTGTATACGCGAAGTCTCTGCGTATTAACATACGTGGAATATTGATTGTGTGTTCCCGGAACCTAGGACTGAGACACCCGGTGTAACCAACGAAGGCCTGATGGTCTCCTGTGATTCACTGCCAAGCGGAGACAGAAGAATTACTTGAAACTCATCTAGTCACACTAATTAGGGCATTTGACTCACTACCCTACATTGGTTACGGCGGTGCAAGGGGAGATTTTGTAACCTTGCAGCAGGTCGTGGGCGTGAACGCCGTCGAGACAATGAGCAGCTTTTACGTTGCATCCGGAGGTGATGCTGATGACAACACTTGGGGTCCAGGCGCATGTACATCTCTTCATCAGTTACATGGCCTAAAACGCCTTACGCTTTCTCAAGTCCTGGCGAAGAAGCGGCGCAAGGAAAAGATCGTCATGTGCACTGTCCGCGTTGCGATTTCACATTAGTTCGTTGCATTTAGCTCCGTTGATCTCTCGCCTCTCTCCACACACTGTACACTTATGCTGCAGCGTGCATGCATGAATGGATGAATGCGTTAGAATTTGACAATTTGGCATGCTTCGAGCACCTCGTTTACTGGTGCAGAACCTAGCAGGAGGGAACACTTTGGTGCCCGGCACGATTCAGAAGCGCAGCATCTCCTGGCCAAATGCTATATGCAGGCTTACGACTTATTTACTTCACGAGTTGCTGATGATGCCCTGGTGGATATCCAGCTCGTTGGCGATTCTCTCGCAAATGTTGTTTTAGGTGGGCTCTTGCACTTACGCCGATTTTGACCTGTTTATAAGGGACTGACACTTAGGGTATGCTGAGCGCAACCATTCGTGTCTTCGATTCAGTACATGTTGAATGCAGGGGAACCTCGGACGACAGCAGTTGATCTGGACACCATGATTTTGTTCGCGAAGCTCGTAGTAAAGGGTGCGTTGTTATGATCGAGCGGCATTGTCATTATGCATCTGTCTGGTTTGCGGGAGGTGTCAGTGTGCATCAGTTTGCAAAGGAAGGACAAGACAACTAACCCTTATAACATTGATTGAGATATCTGCACGCGTTCAAAACGTCTCTTTATTTAGGTTTCTACCGTCATTTGCTCGTTGTGCAGGTTCTCGGCGGTCCGTTATAATGTTTGACCTCCCTTACGGCACCTATAACACTCCCGAAGAGGCCGTTGCGTCAACTGTAAAAGTAGTCCAATCGACGGGTATTCAGCTGGTTAAGCTGGAAGGCCATCTTCCGGAGATAGTTGCGGCAAGTTTTTTGAATGGAACTCATTTGCAATATTTGTCTATAGGGATCTTCCAGTTGCTGTGCAAGGGGGGTTCGCTAGCTCGTGCTATGCAGTTGATTAACAGCTCAGAGTCCAGTTCGTTGATGTGGGGTCCTCACATATTCTACAGGAGGTGCAGAAGCATGCAGCAGTATGCTGCCACATTGGCTTACTTCCACAAACTGCCACGACTTTTGCGAGCACAGGTCAGTATAATTCGCTGGCACTGCATCTGGATGCTCGAGTTCAAACGCTTTCTCTCCCTAGGACATGCCCAGCGCCGTGAATTTCTCATGCGACTGCACAGGAGGCACAGCAGAAGACGCAGAACGGCTTCTGCAGCAGGCGCTTGACCTACAGAATGCCGGTATGTAGTGGTTCCAGTAAACCTTGGCCCTCACTACGGAGTAGTAGGTTTGCTCAAGGGTTGCAGATTATACGTGGTTCCGTTGATGACAACTGCAAACTCTAGTGATAATGCCATCTTTTGGGGGGAGTTGATTACTAGAGTGGAAACGTGTAAGGTTGTATTAATCCATGTAGGCGCTTCCCTGATAGTACTTGAGATGGTCTGCGCTGAAGCGGCTGAGCTAATATCGAAAACTCTTCGCATCCCAACCATAGGAATTGGAGCAGGTCGGTCTTAGTAAACGGGCTACCTCAGTGGGCAGTAGCGCAGGTCCTGTCTTGCGCCGGATATTAGCAACTCTCCCTGAGTTGTGTTCTATGGTTTCATCCCATGATGCTCATTCACTGAGCGTGAGCTCTTCTCAGGTATCGGCTGTGACGGCCAGGTTTTGGTCATCCACGACATGTTGGGGCTATGTGGCCCCGGAACAAAAGTATTCAAATTTGCAAAGAGGTGAGACGATAAACAGGAACATGCTGCCTCGTCATATTAAGCGCGCCATTTCGTTGGTTCTGGTTGTATCAAAGGGCATGAACTTTTGTTCACGCCCATAGCTTGTGTGGTTCTCTGCGTGCCCATGTTCTGTCAGATATGCAAACCTTTATGATGCTGCAGTCTCCGCTGTGGGAGCCTATCGAGATGAAGTGATGGCAGGTTCCTTCCCCAAAACATGCAATTCAACTTTCATGAAACCAGCAGAAAGCGAAAAACTGCTTGCCAGGCGCTCGGGTCGGGTGTCAGCGTGCGATGCACCCAAGCTTTTACCTTCCGCAAATGGGATCACGAGTTTTCATGCTTCTGGCACAGCGATAGGAGGCTCTGAGAAAGTGGGCTCCTCATCGGACCCTGGCGAGCCTGTTCAGACAGGTCCATACAAAGTGTGTGTGTTTGGTGGTGGTCGCATGGGGCAACTCTTTGCGTGGATGATGGCTGGTCCGCCTTGCTGTTTTTCTGATGATGATCGAGGCAGTGCAGTATGGCAGGAAATGCAGAAGCGAGAGACACAGGTTACCATCTGTACGTCGAGAGAAGACTTAATTGCTGCTTGTGCCCAAGCGAAGGGGCTGCTCCGAGTTGTACAATCAGCCAATAATTCGGGTGCCAATAGTTCGTGTGACTACGACATTGGCGTCAAGCATTCCTTCATGCTGGCAGACGGAACCGTAGAAACCGACTGCATGCCCACAGGAGCGGAAGAGGGGCGGCCAGTTAACGTGATTTCGCGGAAGGAAGCGCAGAATCTCACATGTGCCTTTGACCTTGTTATAATTGCTTGTCTCTCCGGCGATACTCAGGATATTGGTGAGCCAAGTGACCTACTGCTGGATCAGTAGATGAGCACGAGGACCTCTACCCATTGAAGTTGGGGCGTTCAAATTCTGCAGGGATTCTGGGGCTGTGCTTGCTCGTTGGATGCGATGGTGCTACGGCCCTGTGCGAGATGCTGTAGATAGGGAGCAGCACACTGCTACTGCCCACACTTTCCTTGTGACTGTGCAGCGGAGTGCGCCTTCCAGGCTGCACGAACTGGAGGGATTGTAGCTTCTGTGCAAAACGGACTAAAAGCCCCAAGAGTATTGCGGTCACTCCATGATCGGCTGCTACTGTCTGGCGTAAGCTAATTGCCTTAATGCTGCTTCGCGCCAGACTTTTCCGTCTCTCATACAATGCATCCAACCATTTGCAGTGTTCTGTGCTCTCAGGGCAATTCTCCTCATCTAGTGTTTATGCCGACGTCCCTTGCTGCAGTTGAAGAGGTTTGTGGGCACTAGCCAACAGGTGCCACGTTTGAGCGACGCAGAGTGACACCTAGAGCGGGCGCCCACAGCTAGATGTTTCGCACCCACTCAAAACTGGTGCCGGCTAAATTCGATTGAGCTTGTACATTAGAATTGAGTTTTTGCTGTCGCCTGAATGACGCTGCGCAAGGGACTAATCCACTCCGGTCTTCCCTTCCGCCACCCACACAGTGCAGTGCATAGTAACACCGTCAAAACAAGCCCGCGTGCCACACCCTTGGAGGACACAAATGTCTCGTGGACACCAAGACATTTAGTCTCCACCAGTGTGCCATGCATATCCTCAGGAACCATTGCGTGTTCGGAAGATTGGTAATGGCCACGTCAAGATATGCGGATATCTTCCGAGAGCAAGCCAAAAGGCTGAGGAACTCCATGGAGTGCTCTTCGCCAGAGGTATAAACATTCGCACACCTTTATAAATATGGATAATCACGTGCTAAACTCCAAATGACAGCCTTGTTTGCGAGGTATGAGAAGGCTGCAGGCCAACTCAAAGTGCGTACTGTCGTGCTTAGTTATGCGCCTGTCTCCTGCACAGGCGTGTCGTGTGAAATCGTACCACATCAGCGACTGGACGAAATTCTGTGGGAAAAAGCGGCAGTGAACTGCTTCATAAACCCCTTGGCTGCTCTCCTAAACTGCACTAACGGGCAGCTCGTCGATCCCAGGATGGAACTTGCAAGGTGAGTGCCAGTTCGCCTGCAGCTTGTGCTGCTCTGCGTATGGTGCAGAATATCAGTGAAAGCGAACGGGAACAAGTTATTTGCATGTCGCTACTGGCCGCTGCGTGCGACTTCTCTTTTCAGGAAACTTGTGGTTTCGGAGGTCGTGGCAGTTGCTAGGGGAAAAGGGATACCGCTGGCATTTGTACGTCCCTCAGAACCCCACTTTCACAGCAGTGTTTCTAGTAGGATATCCTTCTTAGTGCTCGCCTGGAGGGTTTCATTTGCGCTTCAGGCATCTGCTTGTGCCGCCGCTGCCACTGTTGCCCGCGCGTCGATGGACAACATATCGTCAACGTTGGGCCAGCTTCGCCAAGGCCGCCCAGTGGAGCTTGTCGATATATCTGGAGAGGGTAAGCGTTTATTCCTTGATGCTACCAAGTTGCACGGGAGTATATATGTCAGCACTCATGCGCTGTGTGGCCGTTCAGTGATAAGGGAAGCAAATGCAATTGGCTTAAAAGCCCCAGTGAACAGGCTGCTTCTGGAGCTAGTAGGAGTGCTCGAAACGACCAAAGCACGCCGCCTGCCGGTACAGCGACAGCTTCTGGGGAAATAGGATACTACGCCCTTGCTAGAAGCACGTGTATATAGCGTGATCTCAGAGGTTGCCTAGTTGTGGAGTTCTCAGTAATCTCCAGCAATTGGCGCCATACAAACCTAGTACTCCCTTATCGCTGGCAAAACTACTACTTACGCCCTTAATACACGTTGGTGGCCGCGAAAATTGAGTGTCGACGCCTCGGCACAAGTACCGTGGGATTATTCTCGTGCCCAAATCCGGCATGAACCCCGCAAAGGCCATTAGCCGAGCATTGTGCGAAATATCTTGATCGTCCACTGTCGGATAATTCGCAAGTAACTCAGGTGTTTTCCACTGCCACCGCTGTTAGGTTAATAGCAGGGTGGTGCCTTCGTTTGCGAAGTCGTGTACAGTAGCAGTGTTGCATCCTAAATGTTCATCCTAAATGTCAGACTCTCCAGATCACGGAAGATTATCAAGATTTCTCCATGTGAACTCCTGTCGAAATTGCGCGTTTTTGCTACGCCGCAAACGGACGGGTGCTCATACGAATCGGCGTGCTTTCCTTTGCTGCTCACTGGGTGCAGCCAATGCATTCGAAAGCCGCGTCCCATCATGCACTCTGGGGAGGCGCATTCTTTACATAAGCTTGTCAAAGCTTGTCAAGAGCACGAAATGAAATGGCCCCACGATAGCGAGCTGGTCAGTTCAAGCACGAATCGGCTTTGTCCCCTACGAACCATTTTCAGTGTTTCGCATGCCACTGATAACGCGCCTCCTTATGGTATGAATAGAAACGCTGGATAAAGGTGTACGCCGATTCCGGCCCGTGCGATCCGTAAGGGTAAGGTTCTGGTTTGACCCCTGGTTCATCGATCTGCTTAAGTAGCGGTGTGAAGATGCGCCACGCCTCGCGCAACTCATCTGCATAACAGAACACCAGAACAGAGATTCTGCTGTCGCACACGCAACAGCTTGCTGCAACATGTGGCATGATGTTCTTCGAGCTCGTCAATCTCACCAGTTCTAACGAAGTTCTGTCTGTCCCCTTTTATCACATCCAGCAGCAGTCGTTCATACGCATCGGGCAGTCGATCAACCTGTAGCCTGTCCATTACTGTAGGTCATAGCACCCCGCAAAGAACAACAGTAGGTGAACCCATGTGATGGAGAAAAGAGTTCTATACGAAGAAGCCAGGCCTTGCTTCAGGACTCCACAGTGCCTCTTGCACTCATAGTCTGCCTTCCCACAGTAGCACACCTGATAGGTCTAGTTCTGTGAGCTGGAGTCCTGAAGCAAGGCCTGGCTTCTTCGTATAGAACTTTAGGTAAATGGCTTCACGCGGTTGTACCTGAGAGAGGTAAAGCTAATCGCATTTGGATGCACCTGATTCACGCCCACGGGCACTAATCATATGCAAAACTACCTCATGAGTTGACAGGTTGTGGCCTACACTACGTACAATGATTACAAGTTCGTTCTCTGAAAGTTCTTCCTCAGGATAGAAGGACTGGGCGATTGGGCGCAGCTGAATGCGAATTTCGGTGCAGCGCTTCTCCAGAGCCTTGCCAGCCTATGGATACAGTTCACAGTTCCAGCAGGGCGCACATTGATACATACGCAGCAGCAAGCGCATGTTGTTGCTTTGCGTCCGCTAATGCAGTGCCTAAGAAGCTCCCAAGGGAGGGGTAAACATACCTTGAATATGAACGGGACATCCCGCCACCTTTCATTCTCGATCCACAGCGCACAAGCGCAGAAGGTGGGCGTCCGAGAATCAGCGGGGACTCCGGGGTCCTACAGTGCGGCAGCCGCAGTTTTAAACACAGCTACAGTTATACAACTTGGCCTTCAGCGTAATTGTCCCGCAAGCGACACGAGCAGGGAATAAGAGCAACATACGTCTAAATAACCTGGTTGCGTTCCATCTGTCGACGCTGTATACTGTCCCAGGATTGTCTCCTCCAGCTCTGCAACCGCGCAATACATGCTGTACAGTGGAAGCAAGGTAAAGCGAGCATAATTTGGCACATCTGAGAAGCAACTGGTATACGCAACTACGGGAAAACTTAGGCTTTTGGAAACTTACTGATAGGAGGCATCTGTTTCAGAACCTTAACTTTTTCATCTCTGACATCTTCATCGCTCAGAGATGCAGGGGGTTCCATGGCTATCAAGGTCAGCAACTGCAACATGTGATTTTGCATCACGTCCCGAATAATCCCTGCAATTAAAGGTGCACCAACACGAGCACCTCCCCTATACCTTAAGAAAGAAACATCCGGAGATGGCAAAGCGCACTCACCATAGCTATTGAAGTAGCCTCCGCGGCCCTTCGTTCCAATATCTTCCTTGAAGGTAATACGTACGCAACGTACATTGTGCCTATGGAAGAGCTGCTCACACACGCACGCACACTGGCCACAGAAATTCACGAATATTTCGGTGGAAGCAGGCAGGGCTGCCACTGTGGGAAGACTGGACCGGGCAAAGTGCAGGCCCCACAAAAACAAGAAAACTTACGTGCTTAAATGCAACGTTGGCAAAACGCAGTGCAATGATAGACAGGGTCATCTCCTTGCCAAGGTAATGGTCAATGCGGTATATCTGAAGACATATCCCCAGCCAGCATGCTCAGCGGGAAGAACTGTCTTGCGTGTATATGATTATCTACCTAACCATCCGTGTGCCAGTTACCTAGGGCAATCACTTGCGGCTGCATGGATTCACCTCTTTTTCTTGAAGGACTTCCATAAGCTCGTTTGATAATTTTTCCGAGCTTTCGCTGTCACGTCCAAATGGTTTCTCAACCACTACTCTGTTCCAGCCTGTCAAGACAAAGAATGCAACCTCATCTATACTGAAGTTTTGCGGATGCACGAACAAAATTTCCTAGTAAAATCGTTCCTAGACTGGGGGCTCTGGCCGGAAGCAGATGCAGAAATATATCATCATCTAGACGTTGTGAGTGTAGAACATAAATAAGCATTGTGTAAGGTGCATACAGTGCAGCATACCCCTTTGTGTCCAGCAGTGCTTCCTGATTGAGCGCACATTAAGAGCAAACAGCTGCGGCGGAAGTGCCAAGTAGAAGAGCCTGTTGTTGTGTCCATCCGGGCCTTCTAGGGTATCAAGATGATGGCTGAGTTTCTTAAGAGCAACCTCGTCATCGTAGCCGTCTCCACATCTGCAGCCAAAATCACGTCCTCTCCACATAAGACGGCGGGGAAATCTCTACCGCGTGCTGATGCACCTACGAGGTTGTTCAAACGTGCATCGTAGCGGCTGCTTACATATACGAGCATATGCTTCTAAAGCGTTGGACAAGGTCCTCGCATTTGCTACTTAAAGGAGCCACCTGACGCGAGAAATACGTTGATAATTCCCTAAAATTCGCAATCAGGGCACAGCACAGGAGACAGCGGCTGTGCACACCCAACCAAATGTTTTGAGCCCATTTGCTGCACAGCCTCCAGCAAACATATATATATATATATATT